AAGATATTTCATAACTAAGAAAGGCCTGTAGGATCCAAAGACAGTGCATGTTTGCATGTTCCAAGTCAATAGATAGACAGAAAGTATTTCATCCAGAGAAAAAGATTCACATAAAAACAAGTGAAACCACATGCCAATTCAGTTACATTAGTTTATGTGATGACTTAAAGGTATGCTATCTTAAATTCCATCAGGAAAGCACCTATCTAAATGTGGCCAGGCGTGGTGGCTCATGCCTATAATCTAGCACTTTGGGAGATTGAGGCAGTCGAGCTGCCTGAGCTCAGGAGTTCGAGTCCAGCCTGGGCAACCTGGCAAAACCCCATCTCTACTAAAAATACAAGACATTAGCCAGGCATGGTGGCATGTGCCTGTAGTCTCAGCTACTCGGGAGGCTCATTCAGGAGAATCGCTTGAGCCCAGGAGACAGAGGTTGCAGTGAACCAAGATCATACCACTGCACTCCAGTCTGGACAACAGAGTGAAACTTTGAATCCTAAATAAATAAATGTAACCAAATGACTTACAGGTATGCTGTCTTAAATTGTATCATGAAGTATCTACCTAAATGTAACCAATGTGAGATAAACTTATATTTTAGAAACTAACATGCACAGAAAGAAAGATCTTTAAAGGTAACAATAAGGCTGTTGCAAGTATTCACAATAGCAGCTCATATAAGCATTATCCACAAATCAGACACTATGCTAAACTCTCTCTCTCTATCTCTCTCTCTCTCTCTCTCTATATATATATATATAACCACTTTACTGATTGCTATCTCCATTTTACAGGTAAAGAAATCAGAGGGAAAGAGAAGTTAAGAATGTGGTCCCAAGGCCACATAGCTTGTAAAGGGGGAATCAGATCTACCTAACTCCAGGCAATGCTTTTGGCTTTGCTAATTCATTGCTGCATCTTCAAGTTTCACACGGCTTCCAGCTTGCTTTGAAGATAACTTCCTAGAACTGAATGATACTATTCCTTAAGAAACATTTCCCCCAGTTTCTACTTTTGTACCTATTAAGCAACTTTCCAATATTTATCTGTTTTCCCAAGCCCATTTCCTACTTGGAAAAAGAGGAACTGACAAGTCAAATGGCGTAAAGACAAGGCATGTTGATTTTGAACATTAATTTAACCATAAATTTGGTTAATGTGATGAATCATGGAGGCACCAATATCCTTTTCTAAGGATCAACATAATAGAGGATGTCACCAAGTCAGGCATCAATCCTACACAAGTCCACAAATGCTAAACCAACTCTACACCTAGAACAAACTTGTTGAATCTGCATCCTGCAGGCTACATGCAGCCCAGGACGGCTTTGAATGCAGCCCAACACAAATTTGTAAACTTTCTTCAAATATTATGAGATTTTTTTTGTGTGTGATTTTTTTAAGTTCATCAGCTATCGTTAGTGTCAGTGTATTGTATTTGTGGCCCAAGACAATCTTCTTCCAATGTGGCCCAAAGAAGCCAAAAGATTGAACACCCTGACCTAGAATGTAAAAAAGAAAACACAAGCTACTATTAGTATTAGAAAAATATGGCCAGTAGAACTACTACTACATATATAGCTAGAAGAACTCTTAGCAGCTTTCCTTCTCCAGTAGGGAAAATTAAAATATATTATGCAAATGCCAGGTGTTTTTCATTTAAAAGTAAGGAAGATTAAAATATAATGAACAGAATTATTAAAGAGTTAGGAAAAAATATATTACCTGATTAAGCAGAAGGGGCATACTGCTTCAGAACTAACTATTTTGGAAATACTGGACAAGTGGCATGTCTTACTGATGGATTACAGTTTCTTCCCCATAACTCCTCTTCTATATTCTATAATACTCAAGGACCTAATATTTTGAGAAAGGCCAAAATTTGGAATGTGCCTCTTAGGTTCCTCCACAAAGGCTGGCCTGCCAATTCTCACTATTAATAGATTCATGGTCTTGAACAGGAAAAATCAGTAGACTCATTGGCTTTACACAAACCTTGCCAATTTTCCACACCCTAAATGTCTGAGGGTTTACTGGTAACTCCTATTTGTTTTCCATAGTAGTAATCAATCTTTCTCTTCCAAGCTACATTTTCTGTCTTCTAGATGACATCAGGAGCAGTGATTCTCAGAGGAAAGTATAACTGGAGGGCATGTACCAGGAGCACCAAAAAGTGGGAATTCAAGCTGGAAAGTCGTACTGAGAAGTAAGATATGACATCTGTCTTTCCCATAAAGTCAGGAGAACTGAGACCATATCTTTAGGAGAAAGGTTTTGGTGAAGTCAAAAAAGTAAAAAATGGATGGAAGATTTTTGGAAAACATAGTGAATGGAAACTTTCCATAGAGACCCAGGAAGCACAAATTTCACATAGCAAAAAACAGCAAGAAAGAACGAACTACAACTGACTCACAATTCTTTTTGAAAAAAAATTTAAACTGCCTCAATTTGCTTTAATATTCTTAGCCAATCCCTTCTTTTCTGAAAATACAGCTCAACTGTAACCTAGTCTCTTCCAATAATCAGAAATTCTGAATTAACAATGTTTCAGTGATTTGTTACCTCTTCTCAACTCTGTCACACAGGCTGGAATGTAGCGGCATAATCTCGGCTCACTGCAACCTCTACCTCCTGGGTTCAAGCAATTCTCCTGCCTCAGACTCCTGAGTAGCTGTGATCACAGGCATGCACCACCACAACCGGCTAATTATTGTATTTTTAGTAGAGATGGAGTTTCACCATGTTCACCAGGCTTGTCTCCAACTCCTGACCTCAAGCAATCTGCCTGCCTCGGCCTTCCAAAGTGCTGGGATTACAGGTGTGAGCCACCATGTCCAGCCATCTCAATTATTCCTACATGAAGGCTAAGAGAAAGGAAGAAGGATAGACCAGTCACAGGACAAAAAGGGTTAGGCCAACAAATGGTAGGTATAAAAAGAAAGACCAGGTGTGGTAGTTCTTGCCTCTAATCCCAGCACTTTGGGAAGTCAAGGTGGGTGGATCACTTGAGGCATAAAGTTCAAGACCAGCCTGGGCAACATAGCAAGACTTTACCTCTACAAAACATAAAAAATAAATATATATTTTAAAAAGGAAGACAAAAATAATACATAGGTGTGTTTGTGTTTGTACATATGCTACATATGTAAGTTACCAGATGGGCTGGGATCAACTTACAAAAGGGAAAAAAAGATTTATCCCAGCAAATTTGTTGAAGCCTGTAGGTTCCACAAGTACCCATTTTTGTTCTGATCATCTCAAGCTGGAGTCAACTTTGAAAGAAAACTGACAGTATGTAATGCAAATGTCAAACTGCGGTTGTTTGTATGGTTTATTTTGAGATGACAAAGTTCTTTGACCTTGGCCAGCAACCACAGAGACATTCAAAGACTGATGCACTCTGATATCTTTTGCAACTATGTGTAACTCATCAACATTTGTTATAGATATTGGCAAAGTGACCCTTCTGGCACTTAAAAAAAATTACAGAGTAACAGTGTCTTCATGCTGAGAACAATCATTAAGATCACCTAAAAAGTCCCGTTCTCTCAAGGATTGGAGAAATTGAAACTAAAAGTGGGATTTGCACAACATGGACAAAATGGAAAGAGCATAAATGAAATCTTGGATTTAAAAGCAGAAAACTAAAGAAAAACCAAAGAGAATAAAAAGTTTTTAAAAAGAAAAATGTCTTTTAGCTCCATTTTTTTCACAGAAAATTGCATATTATATCCTCTCCCTCCTACAGAAGAGGATTCACATCATGTCAATTAGGTCTTTTTTGAGATAAACACTCATTCCTTTGGGAGACACACTACCATGCTGTTCTTTTCTTTTGCATTCAACTTTAAATCTTATAATCTAACTGAAGTCTTTTCACAATTAATTACTGCTCAAGTTCAGCAAGTTAAGCATGTTTATTAATTCCCATCCCACTAGAAAAATAACTAGAGGCAGTATAATCTATTTTTATGTGTTTGTGCTCCCTCTGTGACTCTAACCAAAGAAGCATAATCTAAATTTAAGGTGGCCTTTCATTTAGAAGTTAGAAAATGAGAGGTAGATATTTTGGAATTTTTATTGTCCCTAAGACCCCTGCCCTCCCCTCCACCCAAAGGAAGGGATACTTGGAATCTAGAAAAGAATACTTGCAATCTAGAATCAACACTAGGAAGGAGAGCTGATGCCAGCCAGATATTTCTTCTGGTGTTAATTAATACAATGACCTTCTGGTCAATAAGTTTTTGCTGCTTTAGAACCTGATCCAACAATTATACTAACAAAACTGTTCCAAACCTGTAAAGCTGCTGACATATATACCATGCAAATTCCATTAATGGGAGACCCCTGGATGTCAAGCTTGAAATACCTGGCTATCTACCTCAATGAAAAAATTCTGAGTTATGTATAAATAAGTTGATTTATTCATTCACAGTACATTCTTTACCCCACTTCCTCTCTCCCTTCACCTACCTCCTTCATTCCTCCAACCCAATGGTATAGAGCAGGAGTTGGCAAACATTTTCTGCAAAGGATCAGATGGTAAATAGTTTGGGCTTTGTGGGCTCTGCCTTTGTAGCACAAAAGTAGTCATAGACAATCCATAAATGAATGGGTGTGGCTATATTCAATAAAACTTCATTACAAAAACAGATTTAGCTTGCAGAGCTATAGTTTGCCAACCCTAGTTTGAAGCAGCAATTTTCAAACTTTAGCCTGAATCACAATCACACACAGGCTTATTAAAATACAGACCTCTGGGCCTCATCCTTAAGTTTCTGATTCAATAGCCCTGTCATGGGGCCTGAGGTGTTAATATGCTCCCAATCAATGCTGATGCTGCTGGTCCAGGGACCACACTTCGAGAACCACTAGTATAGAATAATGGTTTATACTGCATTCAGCAGAAAGTTAAAATGTAACGAACAATCAAGAATGTAGAAACAACATGCTGCAAACTTGACTGCTAATTTTATAGAATATTTCATATGAAGACTTACTGTTAAGTGCCATAATATTATCTGTTCCTGGATGATGGAAATTTATCCCCATGCGTCCTAAAAAATAAAATAATGTTAAGCACAAAGAATGCTTAATGTAATGATTTCAAATACATCTTAAAATATGAACATTACAAAAAGCTAGAACAATCTATAACAATGCTATCAAAGGCCAAAGCAGTTACAACAGTTTTTAAAATTAAGTCATAAAACATACACATGAAAAGTCTTAACACAAAGCCAAAGTTTCAACAACAAACAAAACAAAACAAAACAAAAGCTTCTGTTATAATAGTCTGAGATTTAACACATCTCTTGCATTCCAATTTAAACATGCCAACTCCTTGGATTAAGCATTTTATTTAAACAAACATTTATACTGTCCTTCCATTCAAGCAGCAAAAAAAATATAGATTTGAAAAAAGTATATAAATTTGAAGCTTAGAGAGAATAAAAAGAGGTTTCATACTGGCTCAAAAATGCAATGTAATAATCAGAATGGCAACCAGAGGAAGAGGGTAAAATGTATATAAGAGATAAAACAGAGAAAAACGATTGCCTTAAAAATCTAGAGTTCTGGTGGCTGTCTCCACCACTAACTAGTTATATGACCTGGAATATAATGCTAATCTCCATAT